AGTATAAAACTACAAGTATGTTCAATGTAGGTATCTAGTTTACAATAAATACTCAAGATTTTGTACAAATACTTACATTAAGTTATAGTAAATAACTTATATTGTATAATGACAATAATTGTTATCAACATTGGCGCACATATGGGGGTATCAGGAGGTGCTTAGCATCTCCAGTTTTTTTTTTTTTTTTTGAGCAAAATTATTGTTTAAAGTGTAATTCAATGCACTTATACCCCAGACATACATACTTCATATATAAATATATATATATATATATATATGATCCAAATTTATTTTTAGTATTTATTACTGGAATACTGGAATAGGATTTCATTTTTGTATGCTGTCTACCAGTATGGTGGTTCATTGATATGAAAATAATGACATTAATTAATATGATTTAGCTTTTAATGTAGACATTTTCAACGATATATTCTTATTAACTGTATAGAATACCATGAATCAAAGATAGTCGATTCTATTAGTTCACATACATTCGCTTATAGGGGGGGGGGGGGGTGCTGCAATATTAAAATTATATCTTGTGAAATAATTTTTATAATAATAAATATACCTAATACTAATAATTATTAGTTGATCAAACGTGTTCTCGAGTCAATGACATTAGTACCTACTGAATACTGAAATTAACTAATTTTATTTTATTAATCATTACATTTTTCTACTTAATACCAATAATTTATTAGTACGGTGTAAATTATAGTTTATGTGATTTTTATTTAATTTTTTTACGTACATAATATTACCAATAAAAATATGTTTTGTATATTCAATTTGAATAAAACAAATAAGAAATAAAAAAAATGACGAAAATAGTGAAAATGTGACGACTGTGATTGTATCCTTTCCTTTATCGAAAAATGTAACATTCGTAAGTAAAAATGTATGATGTAATACGTGAAACAAAAATAATATGTTATTTAGTATTTATGTAAAATTTCCGTTAAAAAAAAAAAAAAACATTAAAAATATTGAATTAGTATTTATGTGAATTTATGGCACATTAATTTATAGTTAATATGTTTAAATGTTGTTTTTTATTTATTGAACGTAAAATATTCGTATAGACTCAGAGAAGAAACAACTTTGAAATTGCCAGTTATTGAAATGGATGATAAAGATGATTTGGAAACGGGACCTAAACACCCTAAGTTATCGGTTTGTTGATATTTAATTTATAATGTACCAGTATGATACAGTCGTACAGACCAGATTTACGAATCTTTATCTTTATACATAGAAAGAGAACTGACGAATGGTTTAAAAAATGAAAATATTATTAACAAATTTAGAAAATTAGATTTATGATAATTTATGTATTTCTAATTTGTTATTATTTTTAATTTTTATATTTATAAATACTCAATAGGTATATTAAATAATAAAAAATTGTTGTTAATTGATTTCACATTTTAATAGAAATTATTCAATGTCGGTTATAAATTATAATCTATTGGACAGAAAAAAAAAATATTGTTTATTGAAAGTCAAATTCACTACTCCGATCTTTTTTATAATTTAATAATTTAATTTAAAATAAAAATAATTCATTTCTGGTATGTATAATCGTATTAAGGGGAGGGTGGGGACGAGCCACCCACGGGTTATTTTAGGGTAAAACATTTTAGCACTCTCTAATTTGAGACTAAATGTGCGCCTATGATTATTAATAAAGATACTAATATTTTAAAGAAAATAACTTTAAAATAAGTTTTAATATAAAACCAGATTTGTTCAACAGTTTCACGCGGATGATAAAAATAGACATTTACAGTTTATTGAATTGGACATTATACAAAATTGAACAAGATGCTATACTTGAAGACAAATTAATAATTACCGATAAATATATTTAAAAATAAATCCACATTCCAGTCGAGATTGATTAAAGCGATTTGTGTTTTGCTATAACAAATTCTTGTAGAATCGAAAATTTATAATTTACTTTAACTTGGTCGATTTTCATTAAATTTTAATATTAAATTTTTAAACTGCTGTTTTAAAAATTTGAAAAACTAAATTGCATTTTAAATTTTTGAAAAAATTAAAATGTTTTTACTAATTATCATTGTAAAAATGAATTAAATATATTGATTTCCTAAGAAAATACTTTTAAGGATGATGCAGGACTTACAAACATACCGTAGAGTACGCAGGTACTCATCGAATAAGAATGTACCAGGGCCTCAGAATAAATACTACCGAATAATACGACTACAGGTTATTATAAATTCGTACTTACCACTGGTGAATGTTTGTCAAATTTGTAAAAACTCAATTTATGTTTAAAATATATGTGTGACCGTATAACAAGTACTACATCTATGTATCTATACATCACGATCATGAATATTATATTTCTTTAGGCCTATAAGAGGATTTTATGAATTTCAAAGAAATGACCATAATCGGTAATTTATTGTATAATCAGACAACTGCAGTTAGTAGTTACATACTACTTACACCCTATTATGTATAGCACCCTACCTATACAATTCATACTTAACAAATTCCGTTTTTATAAGGACAATAATAAGGATTATGTCTTATAAAAGCAGTAGGCGTTTTCAAAAATGACAAAACACAAAAGACGTGTCGAATACAATATTACAATAGGTATACATTATTATACGCAAATCAAATATATTTTGTTATTATATAAATATGACACATAAAACGAAATACGTTCTCCCTCTTGTTAAGTTGTCAGTTGTTGAGGTCCACGTCCATAGTCCATACATTTATCGAATACACAAACTATTTTAAAATTGATTAATACGATTATTGAATACTGATGATGATATTATAATCACATAATTTGTAGCACTTATATATTTATAGATATAGGTACATTGCCCTAGTGCCCCCCATTCTTTAATCTACATTGCAGATCAACTAAGAATTTACTTTAGTTACTTAGTTCACATTATCTGTTAATATAATATATACAATATACCATATTAATATAGATTATAATAAAATAATATTTAAAAAAAACAAAGGGACACGAACTATCATCGAAATTACAATCGACACAATGTATTATTACATTTTAAATGATAATACATTTTTGTTGTAATCTTTGGTACTAAATTAGGTATAACATTATGTAATAATTTTATCACAGAGATTATTATAGAACAATGGTTCATTAGATTGAACATCGTCGAAGGTTTAATAATTTTATTATAAGAGCTTTTGTTTAATGTATTAAAATATTTCAACAGTCAATAAATACCTACACGCGAAATCTACAGTTTATTTATATAAATATTAATTATTTTGACAGAACCGTGATTTGGATGCTTAATAATTATTACTAGTTACTACCATGTACAAGAAAAGTGAATAACTGTCATTTCTTAATAAACATTTGAAAAAAGGTGTATCTAAAAAAAAATCCATTATTTGGACTGAATATAAGGTTAGGTACTTACTAGTTATTCAAAATTCAAATAGTCGTTGACATTTCCGAGGACACCACACCATCCGTTTTTATTGACCCACATAATGTCGCACGTGACAAGCTTACGATGATAATATTCTCAGTAGCTTCACCAAATTTTCACAATGTATAAAGAAATATTTATTTAATCATTTAATGGTACAGTGAAATTAGTGAATACTGTTTTTCCTTTCTTTTAAACAAACCAAATAATTTATTCCTGGATTTATTTTTAGGTTATGAGTGAAACGATGAATGCATTGGTTTTATAATGATGTGTGCGGTTTTTTTTTTTTTTTGTAGATATGTACACCTCTTGGAATAGTAAAAATGATTTTATTTTCAATAACGGGAGTGGTTTCTTGATCAAGTTGGTTTTTTGAGAAGTCAAAAATTAAAAATTCCCAGTTCTTTTTTTGTGTATGGGAAAACAAAAAAAAAATTAATTTAGAAAAAAACGGGAATTTTAGACAAATCCAATTTTTAATAAAATCGATTTGGTTTTTTGTATAACTTGGAAACAGTACCCATAGGTTCTTAAAATGTGAACCAAATGTTTATATTATTATTTTTTATTTACGATAAAAGATAAAATTTTAAAAATATTTCAATAACTTTTGAGGTATTTATAAGCATGACAAATTGTCAAAAATATATTATTGAATTCAAATTTAACGCAACGTTAAAAGTGATTAATGACTTACTGGACACCTAATATACTGCAGATCGGTATCCACTTACCTACCTTTATTTTCATAATCTGTAATAAATAAATTACTTAAATTTAGTAAATACTTATTTATATTAAACAATAAAAGCCGATCGATATCATAATACATGTTACGACAGTAAATTTTGTCCCCGGAAGCCTGAAAGTTTATTCCACGCTAATAGGTACGTTTTTCTATAATAATCTCGTTATTACTCAACAACTATTATTGGTACCAAAAATTGGATCACTTCAAAAATATCTTAAACTAGTAATACTTTTAAATTTATTTAAAAAAAGAAATTAAAATTTTTCAAAATGTCGTTAAAATTGCCTAAATTAAACCCCTTAATAAGTGTGAGACGTTCTATAACATATTATTTAACAAAATACATTTTATTATTATATACCTATGATTCATTTTACTATACAGAAATAGTGTATCTGGGTCCATCTCAATACCTAATAATCTTCCAATCAAATTCTATATTATAAATGGTAACTAAGTACATACCTACTAATTCTGTATATTCATATAATATAATTTAAAATACAAATAATTTATTGAATTTTATCAATTATTTTAACATGTTTAGCTTAACTAACTCAGTTTTATGATTTATTTTTGGGAAGGAGAGAGGAGAGGTCATAAATGTTTGTCTAATTTTGTTCCACTTTAATAAAGATTAATTATCACTATTAGCATTATAATTACTGACCATAAAATACCAAGTACATTAATAAATCAAAACAATTTTTCATTCTATTTAAAATGTTTACTATAATAATATTAATTATATTTTAAATATGCATTTTTGTTTTCAGTATTTAGTATATTGTTGCCTTGTTCTGGAAATAGATCAGGCATTGCTAGTTTCAACATACGGTTAGTAATCAGAAACAGAAAAGGTCGTGCTTTACCAGATACACCATTAAAAGTGAAACTCAAAAAAGAGTGTATGGTTAGAGGTACAAGTAAAAGTACAAGTAAGAAAACATGCTATACCCTCATTCAAATGTAATTACTCAATAATATTTATCCATTTATATTCAGCCTTATAATATATGTATCACATTTTAGTTACTAAAGTATTTAAAATTAAGAACACATATAGATAACTGTTAGTTGGTGGATAATAGTCTAGTCTAATTAGCATTATCACCTTCACCTATAATAATAATAGCATCAATAGAAACTTGATAGAAAAAAGAGAGAATATTTAAAATTGAGTATTGTTCTTTAGATTAAATTTCCTATCATCAAATTAAATATATTCAAAAGAAACTTCTATAAGAAAATATTCTTATAAAAATAATTTAGAGGAATGAAAAATTTTACCAATTAATATTATACATAGATAGGCAGATGCCTTTTAAGGTTTTTTTTTTAACTAACCCAACTATTTTACTTTTATCAACATTATAATTGGATATTTTATTTAAAGAAAATATTAACACGGGTATTAAATAATTTAAATTTGGTAAATTTTTTAATAAAAAATAAAGTATAATTTTTTTTCATTTATGGTTTTGAATTCTGAATTTATAAAAATTGATTATCAAATTAAATAATGTAGTAGTCATATCATAATAGCTAACATTTTTTTTTAGAAATTAATTACCTAGCTTATTAATTGTGAAATGTTTATGATTAATTTCAAAGGTCTAGACTTAGTATGTGATAAAAAATGTGAGAATAATGGTTGGTGCAATGCAGATAAAATATGTCAGTGTCCTGAAGGATATATGGGGCAGTACTGCAAAACAGCATTGTGCTATCCACAGTGTATGAATAATGGAACATGTGTTGCGCCAGGTGTCTGTAAATGTCCACTAGGTTTTCAAGGACCACATTGTGAAGGAGGTAATAGTTTTAACTAATTAGTATACATTTAAATTTTTTTAAACATGTATATAATTTAAACATTTAATCATAATTATTATATAATTTCATATAGACAATAACTTCACACTCTTTTTGCTACTTCAATAGCTACTTTGCAACCAGTTTTGATGACTTTTGTTAATGCGTCATAAAATGGAGCTTGCTCAGCTCCGTGATCAATACCACAGTCATGATGTTCTTGTTCATCATCTCTAAACTTTTTAATGGTTTCAAGGAGCTCTTTATCAGCTTCAGGATCGTTCATTAGATCTCTTAATTGATCATTATAATGTTCTACGATAACAGTTTCTACGGCAACAGTACAAGCCATAGCAGCTTTAGGACCCATAAGTGCTGTACCTATAATATCATTTTTATATAAATTTAACATTTTTAGAAACAATTATTTTTTTCTAATAATATTTACCAGCTCCAAGCACATAGCCAGCACAATGCCATAAAGGAAATAGTAATGATGGACGTACTCTATTTTGGACTATAAGTTGTTCAAACTTATTTCTATGTACTTTTTCTTGTTCCCACATCTCTTTAATCTTTGGACCTACATTACTATTTCCTAAAAATAAAAATAAGAAAAAATAATAAAATAATTAAATACGATTGTTAATATATAATGAATAGTTCATTTTTTAACACACCTAATACTGCCATCTGTCCAGCATATATACGATCGGCTCCAAGTTCTCCAGCATGATTAACTCTTATGAGACTATCTAACTTTTTGTTAGCACCATGTAGTCCTCTTTGGAAAATTATTCTTGAAAATGTCATTTTTTGCATAACCATTTTCATTTTCTGTTTATTAAACGACTGTAATCAAAAATAAAACTTATTAATCGTGTTTGTATACAATTTTCAGGTATTTGTGCAGAAAAGTGTTTAAACGGTGGGAAATGTATACAAAAAGACACATGTCAATGTCCTAAGGGATTTTATGGCTTACGATGTGAATATTGTAAGTTTTTCTCATTTGAAAAATGATTAATTCTAATAGACAATGAATATTTTTAGCTAAATGCATTATACCATGTTTAAATGGTGGAAAATGCAAAGGGGTGAACAAATGTAGATGTATATTTGGATTTCAAGGAGATCATTGTGAAATTGGTCAACCGATAAAACAATATTATCATTGTAAACGGCCTTGTCGTCATGGATATTGCACTGCAAATAGAACTTGTCGATGTCAACAAGGATGGTTTGGAAAATTTTGCCAGAGAAGTAAATTTTTTAATTATTTCTATAAACTAACATTGTTAATTTGTATTATTTTTTTTATTTAGAAATACTTAAGCCAAAGCACGCTAATCATAGGTCAGAATATCCGCATTCTTGTGAAGATGATGATGATGATATGGATGATTATGATGAAGTACCCAAAAGTCATCATAGATGGCATTGACTGTTCTCAATTAGTATGCAATTTAAGTGTTAAAAAATGTATAAATAAATGATCTGTGATTTGTAAAATATGTTTGAAATATAAATTTATTCAAATGTATGTTCTTGGGTTAATGACAACTAACCAATTAAATAAGTTACTAAAATTGTTCAATAACATAACCAAAAATAAAAATCTAAAACAAACAAAATACTCTACTTATTTATGGGCAATAATTTTATTATAGTGAAATTATTTTAATTACACCTATTAAGTATCTAATGTATATATAAATAAATTAAACATGTATCAAATTGAAACAGTTTAAAATTTATCTCCTATAATGCAATTAATAATTACTGTTCAGCATTCATTTATTTGATTGTACGTTTTTAATAATGACTATCGACGTTGTAAATTAGATTTTATGTGATGTACATCAAAATTAATAATCAATATGTCAATCGGACGGTATGCCTGAATTGTTTTTAGTTATTTTTTGAAATGTGAATGAATGAAAATAAATAGTATGCAGAAATATTAGAATAGAGCAATATTACCGTCCGTCATTATAAATGATAAATCGTTAATTCACGGGTCGACAGATTTACCGCCGACATTCGAGAGCTTCGAAAGGTCGCAAAGCAAACGAGGTGTTGGGGCTCGGATCCCACAAAACAGTGCTCTACACATGATTTTGAAATTTGGCGGATAAGAGAAAACCGAGAACGAAGTCGTTTACCGGTAGATAGCGAGGCGCGCGCACCAATGGCGCACGGCGGGTGACAAAATGTCTTCTGGCTGCCGCGGCTCAGCACTTGACGCGAGCAAAACTAGTAACCACCGACACGTACTATATACACGGCCTATTGATTACGACGCGCGCGAGTGTTCTCGCCTGGTACACAAACACCGCCGTTTGGACGTCGAAACGACGATTTAACGGACTCAGCGTTTCGGTATTTTTGGATTTCGGCGATCCAGCGAACGGTTTTTCGCAGACGACACAGCAGTACTGGTGCGGGAACGGTCTTGAGCGGCGCGACGTGTCGCCGGGGCGGCGAAGTATCCGAAAGTGACGTGAACGGGTCGGTGCGCAGACGCGTGTATTTAATTGCTACGACGACGAAGACGACGACAACGCCGACGTCTACTATACCATAAAAACTGTTATCGCGATAAACACGATATTATTACTATCATCATCATCATTATTATTATTATTATTATTATTACTATTGTAATAATTATTATTTATTATATACCTTCGACCGCGGTATATAAATCACACTATAGCATCGAAATATAATATTATATTACACAATAATACTGAACGTGTATCGTTTACGATTACATTATTTATTATATATATAATATAAGGTGTCGAGGGAGACTGTGCGTCTGTGTGTGATAATCGGCCGTATCGTAGAAGCAGCTATAGTCAAATCGCACGGCATAATCCGGGACGGCGACGACGACTGCCGCTACGATTCACGACGGTAGACGACGGCGGCAAAACAACCAAAATGGCGGCGACGACGACGACGACGACATCGATCGGTCGGACGGACCGGGCCGATCGATAACAACGCGCCGCCCGCGTCCGCGTGACGTGTGTGTGTTCCACGGTACAATACACACGTACACCATTACACAATATTAACCATAATATACACGAAATAATTAAACGCATATAATGTCATATCATATATAGGTATACGCGGCGGGGTTTTTTTTCCGTCTCGTCGTTACATCACACACAGTATACGTTGTGTTCGCGTTATACGTACCCCGAAGCGGTGTTTCCCGTCCGTGTGGTGCGCGTCTTCGAACGTGGTCGTTTCCAGAGACGCCGCGCTGTTTTGAAAGAGACGCGGTCGGTCGCGACCCGAAGACGTCGACGACAGTTTTTCGCGCGCGCCGCGTACGGGCGATGGACTCAGTCGACACGGGCACTGCCGACGTCGCCGCCGCCACCGCTGCCGCCGCCGTCGTCGTGGTCGACGCCGACGCCGCAGCCGTAGCCGCCGTTCTCCCGTCACGCAGGTGCGTACGCAGCCGTACTCTGGTAATATTATTATCATTATCGTCACCATCGGTGTGTCCCGTCGATTCTAATGACGCCTCCATGCCCGTGTCACTCGGGCCAAATGTTTATTATTTTTACGTTTTTTAAGTCTCCCCCGCGGAACGTCGTTTCGTCACGAGCGACCGACCGACCGCCGGACGATTGCCCCGAAGGAAGTCGCCCGCCGAGCTCGTGCTCGGACCGGTCGCGACCATTTGGTGTTTTTCCGTTATTACCTACCTTCTCTCCCGGTATCGTCTAATCGACGCGGCACACACACGAACAACACATGACACACACTGCGGCTGCGGCGGCGACGACGACGTCGTCGGTGCTTCTCTAGGAAGTCCGTCGACGCCGACGCCGCCGCGACGTTGTTGTTGCTGCGCCTTAGGAGTTGCGCCCGGCATGATATTATTATTATTATAATGTACATGTGTGTGCCGTCGTGTTCCGCGACAGTAATACACGTATTAGTAGTAATAGTAGTAGTAGTACTAGTACTAGTAGTTGTAGTAGTAAACTAGTAACGACCAGTCGTACTAGTTTGTAGGCGGTGATACTATCCTACTTTGTAGTAGTAATAGGAGCTACGATACTCGCCACTCGGTGATGGCATTGATTATACGTCATAGTCATTGCAGTAGTTAAGTCAGAGCTCCGCGGTTTGTACGACAATTCTTCTGTCGAGAAAGCTGTACGACAAGCGACGCCAATTTTTCAGTCTGCGAAACGGCCGTCCAGCCCAATAATAATAATAATAATAATATGATATTGTGTTTTCAAAATTCAAATTTTTTCTCTGTTTTGTCGATTTTCATTCGAGCATGGTCGTACCTCCCCGCCAACGACGATGAAAAATTTCTTTTCAAAATTCTCCTAAATATGTCTATCGTATGGGTTTTTGGATTTATTTTGTTGCTATTATTTTTTCGGCTTTTACATTCACCGCCCCCGCTAATATTGTGTTTTCAAACCGATCTTACGATTTCATTCAGTACAATTCTATAGAATTTCGTCTGTAGTGGAAACCCGTGTTATCTAACGTCATTACGGCATAATTTTCCTCGTCGTCCGGTTTGAGGTTTTCTTTGTCCGACCATTTATCATTAACGCGTAGCATTTGTTTACTTCATTATCTCGGAAGTACTCGCACACAACCACACATTGGGTTCCGTGCGTCATGTCGATGGCGTATATAACGTTCAATCGTGTACATAATACTCCTATGATTTGACATAAAACATTATTTTATAATCAACATGCCACGAAATTCAAATTTATCTATATTGTTATCTCGTTGTCGAGATTCACTGACATTTCTCAAAAAACATTTACCAAACGTACGTTGGAATGTATTATTTTTATTATCGGTTGTTCCTATCATTCCTATCAACAATTTTAATACGATTATCAACCGCTAGTAACTATCGCTGAATATATTTTATTGTTAGTAGTTGAGTTAAATATGCATTGCAAAATCTTCGAAATTATTTAATTATAAGTTTTAATCTCGGATTAAAATTATTTTATCAATTCGTGTTTGTAACATAATGTATGATCAATTTCGGAAATTTACTACATTTATAGGTATGGAGAAAATATCAAATTATTAATATATTATGATATCTTACAATTCATTTACATGCATATTATTATGGTTTTGATCGATATTGAATTAAATTCATTAATATCAAGATTTTTTAGTGTTATTAATCATCATAAATTTATATCTTAACATAATTATTTTATTATAACCTACTAATTTTCAAATTATTTACTCTTATCATCAAATTCAGTAATTTAGATTATCATAACTTTGTTTACATTAATTGATAACAATTATTTACACCTATTTCCTAATGTAAGTGTTACTAAAAGTCTATTTTTTAAGCAATTAAAATAGTTTATGTATTAAAATCGCGAAGAGTTCAGTCTTACTCGGATGTTTTGTTTTACAATCAATTTTTTACTTATTAAATTTGTTATCATACTAGAAAATACTATTGATAGCCTGATGCAGGAATATCCTTAACTAGGTTGTAGATAAGAATAATTAGGATTAAATTAATCTTTTAAACAATAGATGTTATCTGATTTTTAGTTATTTTAACTACATTATTTGTATAATTTTGGTTTTTTTCTTGATTCATCTTACAATTCATTTTATATTTATATTATTAATATGTTGGAGTAAAATATTAATACTATTACCTATAATATTGTTACTAATTGTTTTTTAAAATTAATCAACCTTTAATAATGATGTTGTATATAATCTTATAATTTATTACCATGATTATTATGGCTATTTTTGTTATTTTATATGAGTGGGTAAGCAAAGTTTATCATTTTTCATTTCTTATATATTATTTTTAAAAATAATTTTAAAATCAAAACATAAGTTTATTACAGTTTTAAACAAAAATGTCTAAAAGCATTGAAACTTAAATTATTTAGATAATAATTGTTTTCAATTAAACAACCATAGATTTTCCTGATTAAAAGTAATCAACAATTTTATAAATACAAGTTAGATGATCTAGAAACGTATCAAATTTTATTAATTTGTACAAATAATGAAATAGATACCTACTTATATGTTTATGACTTGTTCTATAATAGCTTTCAATTATGGTATATGCATTTAAGATTTATTTATTAAATTTATAAATTGAAAACATATTAAAAATTATTAATATTTTTGTTTTTTAGATTATTCAATTTGGATTTCAACCAGACATTTCATTTCATCGGGAATTGAAATTTTTCAAATTTTAAAGATTTTATTTGAATATTTGACTGAGTTTTTAACTTGTGAGGTATTGAAATATTTAATCTTTTATTTGAATTATGAAGAAATGATTTATTTAAATTTTATTTATAGGTAATTTTTAATATATACCGTTATTATGATGGATCGAAGTGGAAATGATATCAACATGACTGGAGACAGCGATCTAGATGATGATGGATGTTTATCCTCAGATGACTGTGACGGAGACTCCAACCAGAGTAAAAGTGATTTGATGTCTGCAGCAATGGGTGATGATGTGACTGCACAGCTTGCTGCAGCAGGTTAGTTTAATGTTTTATTAATATTTGTGTTCTAACAATTAGCACTTTTTATTATTAGAGCTGGGAATATTATTCTTAAAAAAATAATTTATTTTAAACTATTTAGTTTTAAATCTTAAAATATTTTTTATTACATTTAAAAAAAAAATACAGAATTTTATAACTAAAATTCTGCTGTATATATTTTGAATCTATAAAAAGAATTATTCTCTTTAAATTTTCCATTGTCACTCATAATTTTAACTTTTATATCATGGATTTGTTAAAAAAATTATTATCTATAATATAATATTCGATTAGCTAAAAACATTTTTAGCACGTTTCTTATTTATTTTTTAATATAATTGAAATCTTTTAAAAAAAAATGAGGGAATAAAAATTAATCTTAAAAGTAATAATTCCCATTAAACTTTTCACTCTAATTTAATAAAATTACATGAAACGTAAATATTATTCATCAATCATTACATAACTAGCTTTAGAAAAAAATCCAAAGTTTATCAAAATCCCAGCTCTAATTATTTTGATTATTATTTATTATTCACTGCTTCTTTTTAACAATAGAGAATCTTAACATAATATTCAATAATATCACTATAAAAATAAAGAAATCAATAGATATTGACTTTATGTTGTTATTTTTGATTTTCATAGCTTTGTCAACATATTATTTTTATTAAAAAAAAATGGTTCTACTTTGTAATTATTATGCATGTTTTGTCTTTATTTTGTTTTGCACTATTTTTTTTTTTTTTTTTTTTTGTTTTGCGTGTGTGTGTTTGTGTTTGGCTGGTAGAAAAACGCAATAGCGGATCGTCGAACACTAGGGGTCTTTGTTATGGTTTGTGTCGATCAGGACCGGTTGGAATGGCTGCTGCTGCTGCAATTGTGTCATCAAAAAAGCGAAAAAGACCACATTCATTTGAAACCAATCCATCCATTCGAAAACGACAGCACAATCGGTTACTA